GGGGGGGGGGGGTGTCGGGGGGGTGGGGGGGGGGGGGGGGGGGGGGGGGGGGGGGGGGGGTCAGCCGCTAACATTGGGCGAAGGCAGGGTTCACCTGGACAGGTCACCAGACTGTCACAGGGTTAACACGCATTCACATTCTCACCTTTAGAATTGAGAGTTTTCCATTAACCTCAGCCGGAGAACCCACGCTGCCACAGGAAGAACATGCAAGCACCACACAGAAGTTTAGAATATTGGTATGGACAATTCAGCAGTGCCTTGACACTGGTAAGGACGCAGTAACTGTCCACACCCAAATCTACAGCGACAAAGTCGTTTGTCTTGTGGATCAGGAGAATACAGAGGCAGTGAGAGGAAGTATTGATAGCACTAAAATCAAACCAACCTCGTCTTCTCTGGCTTCATTAAGCTTCCAAACGGCCACTTATCGAGAGTCCCTGAAAATGAGCTGTGAAGGTAACAGAGGATCATTAGATTGGCACTTCACTCAATATCAGCACGTTGAATGATTAATTGAAGGAGGGGGGCGCTTATAGGAGGCACGAAAGACAAGGGACTGAAAATAGACAAATTAATAATAACAACCTTTATTCATAGAGCACTTTTAAAACAATGTGTGCTTCACAAGACAATTAAAGCAAGATAAATGACACAAAAGTAAAAACAAAAGAATAAACTATTAAAACAGCAGCATAAACAATAATAACAGTAAAACATCTATGGCTTTCTTTTGAATGAAACTTTAAATGTTTGTCGTCATATTTTATGATGTCAACCCTAGAAAGAAATCTTGAACAAAATCCTCAATTTTAATAAAGTGATTCATCGTCTTGAAATCTTTATGAAATCATCTTTCTTTAATGGTTATCTTTCAGTGCTGCCTCCCTTTGTGCACAGTAAGCGAGACAGGACACAGGATTTTCACCGCAGTGAAAATGTTGGTTGTGAAAGGTTAAATGCCAATAGAATAGCAGAATATTTTGTTCGATTAAAACATGTTTTAAAAATGATTTCATCTATCTTTTTTCATACGAGTCAGAAATAATCTCACACAGCAACCACTGGTATCTAATTCTACAAATAGTATAATACTAATAATAAAATGGTAAATGGACTCTACTAGTCTTCCGACCACTCAAAGCTCTTTAACACTACATGTCATCATTCACCCATTAACACCCATTCATACACTGATGACAGGGCTGCCATGCAAGGTGCCACCAGCCGATCAGACTAACTAATATCCACACACATTCATACGCCGCAGGAACAGCCTGCAATTTAATTTGTCTTGCCCAATGACACACGGACATGGACCTACGGAGCCAGGGATCAAACCGCCGATCCTCTGATTAAAGGACGACCCTGCTCTACCACTGAGCCACAGTCACCCCTAATAATAATGAGTGTAGCCTGATGTTGTATGTAGATACATGTATACACACAGAGGCACATACATGTTTGTCTTTGTACACATGCTTCTAGGGATGATACATTTATATTTTAGTTTAATTTATTTAACTTGGCCCAATACTCATTTTACTGAATAGAGCTTGAATGCATCATAGTAACCTCCATTACCATTAGTTTACAGCTCTGTTATTCAATAGGCAGGACCGTGCTGCCCACCGGCTGCTAACAACCGGATTTAACAAGCTCTCCTCTTGCT